TTTTCTGTTCCCTCCTCTTTTCCTTTCCTTTGGGGTCTCCAAATTACTCAGATATTAGGCATCTTGAAGATGACTCACAGTTTTCTGACATGCTCTATTCATTTCTTTTTAGTATTTTTTTCTCTGTATTTCATTTTGGATAGTTTCTATTGCTATGTCTTCAAGTTCGCTGATATTTTCCTCTGCATTATCTACTCTGTTGCTAATCCCAACCAGTTTATTTTTCATTCTGGACATTTTATTTCTTACTTCTAGAAATTTAATTTGGCTCTTTTTAAATATCTTCCCTAACTCTAATCTACAAATTTAATCTTTCCACTACCTCCTTGAACATGAGGAATATAGTTTTAATAACATTTTTATGTCCTCGTCTGCCAGTACTATCATCTGTGTCATTTATGAATTAGTTGCTATTTATATATTTCCTCCTCATTGTGAGTCATATATCTGCTTGTTGGCATGTCTACATAACTTTGATTGGATGCCAGATATTGTGAATTTTACCTTGTTGGGTGCTAAATACTTTTTATTCCTACAAATATTTTTGAATTTTGTTTTATGATTCAGTTAAGTTACTTAGAAACAGTTTGATCCTCTTGATCCTAGTTTTTATGCTTTGTTAGGTGGACCAAAGTGGCTTTTCATCTAGAGCTAATTTTTCCTACTATTGAGGTAATGCCTTTATGAGTCCTCCACCTAATGTCCCATGTTTTATGTGGTTTTTCCATTCTGGCTAGTGGCGGCACAAACTATTCTCAGCCCTGTTTGAGCTTAAGTGATTGTTCTTCCTAATCCTTTTGGATAATTCTTTCCCTAGCTTTTGGTAGGTCTTTTACATGCACATACTGATCAGTATACAGCTGAAGACTTTGCAGATCTCTGGAACTCTCTCTATATATGCATCTCTTTCATTTCCAGTACTCTTTGCTGTGACCTCTAGCCACCTTGGTTCCCTGGACTCCCAATTCAGTCTTCTCAACTCAGTGAGTCTTCTGGGCTCTGCTGTGGCTCCCCACTCCTGTGTGGCAGTACAACTTTCTCTAGGCAGTACGCTGGGAAAAACACGCAACTCAGCTCATTTGTTTCCCCTTTCTCAGGGATCACTGTCTTGGATTGCCCGTAATCCAATTTCTGCAAATATTTGTCTTCGATGTTTTCTTAGTTGTTTAAGAAAGGAGGGTAAATCTTTTCCCTGTTACTTCATCTTGGATCATATAAAGTAGGCTAAGTAAAGTCCCACATATTTCTTTTCACTGTGAATATTTTTATGCAGACCTAAATTTAAAATGTAATCTTTTTAAATGTTAGACATGGCTTTTATTAACTATAACGTGATATGTAAGAAAGTGCAACAGATGGAAAGAATCTTGAACTAGAATTCTAGAGAACTGGATCATAGATCCATTTTGTCTTTCAGATTATCGCATGACTGCATTTCCCTGGACCTAAAGACATTTGAAAATAAATGCAGACCAAGCAATTTCTTTGGTACCACACAACTGAATCATTTCATGATTCTATAAAGCTCAAAAACGTTCAAGAAGATTTTAACTCATTTTCAGAAGATAGAAAGAGTCTGTAGGAGTGGTATTAGATTTAGGAGTGCAGAGGCAGCTACAAACTAAAGTGCATGATGAAGGAATAATGATGAGTGAAGAACCAGGCTTATTCAAAAATTAGGGGCCCCAGGAACAACAAGGAAAGGGTAGATGTTGAGGAAATGCTGTGGGTAAGTACCACATAGGGTTGAAAGCAGGAGGATAAATTGAAAGTCTATAGAGGAAATAGTTCCCCATGTTTAGCAACCTCAACAGTGCCAACCAGGGAAAAGGAACATTTCATATGACATCAGATAGCTAGAAACTCCTTTATTATAAATTCTAGCAGAAGGATAAAATATTTACACCTGGCATTTGTATAGCTATTTCACACATTATAATACTAATACTGATACTAATAAAATCCCTTTTGTGGAAACCCATAGAAACTAGTGTGTGTGGGGAGAAAACAACAAATAAAATGCTCATGAAAATCTAGATTGCACTCTTAAGAACTATAGAATATCATATTTATTTAAAAGATGCTCTTACTGAGGAAATGTGGTCAGTTCCAGGGGAATCTTATCAATGCTCTATTTAGAACCCCAGATAACAGGCTAAAGAGCCTTGAAGTGAAATCTTTTGCCAAAAGTCACAAAGCTAATTAGCGTTCAATACGGTATTAGAACCCAGGTCATTGGACTCTTAACAGCCTGTCTCAATGACACCAAGTTGCCAGCAGGGTGAACTTTGATTCAGTCATATTTTTCTCCAAAATCTTCTTTGTATTTGTCATGTTTTGAACACATTATTAGAGACAGAGGTTTGCTCTGTGATGATAGGATGATATAAAATCTTCCTGCTGACTTTTTAGTGAATTTCATAGCATTGCCCTCATTGTTATGGTTATTTAACAAACAGAAGTAGATCATCAAAGTATAATAGAACATGAGCCTCATTTGTGAATGTGGCTTTTTCACATTCTTTAAGAAGGTCCAGTTTATGAATAAAAAATACAAGCCAAGAATAGGGTAGGAAAACGTGGCTCAACATTAAACCAAGGACTCAGCATTAAGCCAACATAAACCAAGGACTGAGACACATTCACCATCTTGATTGCTTTTCTTAAAGTATATTAAATGATTCATAAAACTAGAGTGATATTTTTGGCACTCAAGGAAACCTTTACATGCCATTTTGTAGGAAACAGTGCCTTTAAGTATTGACTAGTCAGTGTATTCATCTATTTCTATACTCAGGACTTGGCATCCTATTTCTGTGATATAATTTACACTTGGCTACAATAAGAATGTGCATTAAAACTGTGATACCGATTTGATCAGTGAAGTGGTTAAAATGTTGGCATTTAAATGGCTATAATTACATTTCTAGATTAACAGTACTATTAAGTTGAATAAGGACAGCTTTTCCTTCTGTGTTACTGTTCCACATCTGGGTTTGTAATATCCAAAAGGCAAGATAAATTAGCCTTTCATTCAAAAACATAAATTTCATGATTGTAGAGATAATGGTTCTAGTAAGGAAAATAAACTACATTCTGGAGAAATCAGCAGAAGTTCATAGGTCCTTAAGCCTTCGAAAGCCAACCAATTTCTGCTGCTTCAGGCTTGAATAATTTTATTGAACTGCAATAAATTTGAATTCCTTCTAAATTTCTAAATTTGGGAGGAGGATCTATTCTTATTTTACTATTGGAAAGGAGGAATATGCAATCATTCTAATCATATCTAAGACTTGTTAGAATAGTATGAAGACTTCTATATTTGCTACGTTCCCTCTGAAAGGTACAAAGATGAGAGATGATTGCTGGTGAATCACCGTTCTATTTTATCTAGAGACCTGAGTGCTCTCACTGCTCTATTCCCTTAGGGGGTCATGTTCCTCTGCTTAAAAGAATATTGCCTGCTCTGTGAGCTAATGATTTGTTTGGAGGATGTAAGTCTCAGAGGTGAAGATAACTGCACAGCTTTTATAATGTATCCTTCAAATCTTTGATCTGCTCTTTTCTGAATACATGGGACCCCTCAATAGCAAGAGATTAAAGATGCCTCTTCGGAGAAGAAAGGCAAAGTTTGAAAGCCTAAAAGCTCCTCAGATTTCCAAATAATATTTCTGTATTTTTTCATTTTGTCAACATTATACTTGGTGTTATCCTACATTCACATGATAATTAGATGGTAATCAAAATATAGTATTGGATCTTTAATTTTTTTTCATATTCTCTAAGGAAGTGGGGAGCTATGAATCTTGTTTTCAAAAGTGGTTAGTGCCAACTAGTTTATGGCTAGGACATACGTACTCATTTTGAATTCTATTTAATTTGACAAATATTTACTTGGTACTGCTAGATGTCAGACATTGTGCCTGCTTTCGTAGGGAATACCAAGAATCAAGACCTGTTTTCAGAAACTCACACTCTCACCAGGCAGATAAGGCAATTACAGAAATGGTCATGATAGGATGCAGAATCTGATAAATAAATGCTTGGAGAGAAATGAATGACATTCACTGTGGGGGCAGAGAAAAGAGACGGTGTGCAAGTAAGGGGGGCATCAGGGAAGATTCTAGCATTTGAGAAGGACCTTGCAAGATGAATGAGATTTCTCTGGATGGGGCTGGAGCTGGAAGTAAGATGATAATAAAGTATGTTGTGTGTTTGTGTGTGTGTGTAGGGGGTAATCAGGGAAGAGAGGTGGTCCAAAAATGTTGAAAAACTTGTACTTAACTTGTAGGCAGTAGGGAGCTAATGAAGATTTTTAAGCAGAGCAAAAATAGAATAATAAGAGTGGTGGTTTAAGAAATGTTTTTGAAGCATTTTAAAGCAGATCTTAGTGTATTTGAGGTAAAAATATATCTATAAACAAGCAAGTGTTTTGATAATGTCTTACAGGTTTTCAACTACCACTAAAAATGTTAAACATGCTAGTAAGCGTGAGAATTAACTTCTCATTTATATTTGAAGCTGAAAAATTATTTTTCACTATTATAGTGGCATAGCTTATCCATGCATAGATTTCTAATTTCAGTCAAATGATTCAGTAAGGGGTGTACTGTTTATAGCATTGTGGAGAGTTTAATCTTTTCCACCATATGAATAGCTGAGTTTTCACTGTCTGAATAATATTTTGAAATGCATTTTTTTGTTCTGTTCCTAAGTCCTTTAGAACACAACACATCCTTACCAAAAAAGTGGAGAGAGAAAATGTAAAAAAAAAAAATAGAAAAGTAAATGGGTTTTTATTAGAGTAAACAAAAGCAAAAGAGATTTTTCAAAAGTCGAAACCTTGATCACAGCAAATAGACGCAAGGCTCTGCTCAGAAGCTAGTTTTGAGGAGTATTTTTTTCATGATCATCATTGTGAAGGTTAGAGTTTATGCAATATAAATTTGGTACCAAGAATGATATGAAGTCTACAGTGTTTTCAGAAACAAACGACTTACCAGTGATTGGATCAGGGGCAATGTTGCTTCTACTCTCCTTCCATGACAGCAGGTAGTCAAGGCTGGTGAGGTCCGCAGATTCTATGTAATTCTTCACTGTCTGCATCATCTGATGAGCTTTTGCTATTCCATAATGAACTTTTGTCTCATCCATTAGAGGTATGTTTGTGAGCTCTGCTGTTGTGTCAAAAGCTTGCTGAAAATATTCAGAAGCTTTGTTGTAGTATCCCTAAAAATGTAACAGAAATAATTTTTTGCCTAATTTTTATTTTGCCATTCTGCATATCTACCCATTTTGGCATGTGCCACACTGATCTTTCAACAGTTATAGCAGTTCATGTTCAAGAATAAATAGATGGAAAATGAGGTCTCTATTAGGATAAGGTTCTTAAAAATGATTACTAACCGTGCAACATCTTGAAGTTAATTTACTAAGAAAGCTGTATCTACCAGGTTGAACTGTATGAAACTTAAGTGTTTTGGATAAAAAATGGTCAAATATTGGCATTTTCATATGGTCCAACCTAATATATGGTATCAAAAAGAAGTTTGGGAAAGAGTAAACCAATACACATTGATTTGGATGGAATTTTCTTACTCATAGCATTGGACTTACCTAATGAAATATTTTTGTTGTATTATTTTTAAATTATTTTTTGAGGTCATAATAGTTTATAATATTGTGAAATTTCAGGTGTACACTATTATTTGTCAGTCAACATATATCTGTGCCCCTTTACCCCTTGTGTCCACCCCTTCAACCCTCTGGTAACCACTAATCTGTTCTCTTTGTTCATGTGTTTTTTTTATCTTCCACATATGACTGAAAAAATGCAGTGTTTGTATTTCTCTGTCTGGCTTATTTTGCTTAAAATCGTTCCCTCAAGGTCCATGCATGTTACTGCAAGTGGGACAATTTTATCTTTTTTATGGCTGAGTAGTATTCCATCGTATACATATACACCATGTCTTCTTTATCCATTCATCTGTTGATGGGCACTTGAGTTGCTTTTATGTCTTGGTTATTGTGAATAATGCTGTAATGAACATAGGGGTGCGTAAGTCTCTTTGAATTGTTCATTTCAAGTTCTTTGGATAAATACCCAGTAGCGGGATAGCTGGATCATATGGTATTTCTATTTTTAATTTTTATGATAAATCTCCATATTGTTTTCCATAGTGGCTGCACCAGTTTACATTCTCACCAGCAGTGTATGAAGGTTCCCTTTTCTCCACATCCTCTCCAACATTTGTTATTTTTGTCTCGGTAATTATAGCCTTCTCACAGGTGTATCTCTTTAGTTTTTATTTGCACTTCCCTGATGAAGCTGAACATTTTTACATGTGCCTGTTGGCAATCTGTATATCTTCTCTGGAAAAATTTCTGTTCATATCCTCTGGCTATTTTTTAATTGGATTGTTTCTTTTTTTGTTGTTGAGTTGTATGAGTTCTTTATATATTTTGGAGATTAACCCCTTGTTGGATATATGATTTGTAAATATTTCCTCCCAGTTGGTGATTGTCTTTTTGTTTTGTTCTGGTTTCCTTTGCCTTGCAAAAGCACTTTAGTCTGATGTAGTCTCATTTGTTTATTTTTTCTTTTGTTTCCCTTGCCTGAGTAGACATGGTATTCGAAAAGATGCTTCTAAGATAGATGTCAAAGAGTGTACTGCCTATATTTTCTTCTAGGGGTCTGATAGTTTTCTCTCTTATTTCCAAGTCTTTAATCCATTTTGAGCTAATTTTTGTGTATGGCATAAGATAATGGTCTACTTTCATTCTTTTGCATGTAGCTGTCCAGTTTTCCCAACAGGATTTATTGAAGAGACTTTCTTTTCTCCATTGTATGTTCTTGGCTGCTTTGTCGAAGATTAGCTATCAGCAGATGTGTGGTTTTATTTCTGGGCTTTCAATTCTGTTCCATTTATCTGTGTATCTGTTTGTGTACCAGTACCATACTGTTTGATTATGATAGCTTTGAAGTATATTTTGAAGTCAGGGATTGTGATGTCTCCAGCTCTGTTCTTCTTTTTCAGGATTGCTTTAGCTATTTGGGGTCTTTTGTTGCCTAATGTGAATTTTAGGATGCTTTATTTCTGTGAAGAATGTCGTCAGGATTCTGATTGGGATTGCATTGAATCTGTATATTGTTTTAGGTAATATGGACATCTTAACTATGTTTATTCTTCCAATCCATGTGCATGTAATATCTTTCCATTTCTTTATGTCATCATTGATTTCTTTCAGTAATGTCTTATAGTTTTCATTGTATAGGTCTTTCACTTCCTTGGTTAAGTTTATTCCTAAATATTTTATTCTTTTTGTTGCAATTGTAAATAGGATTGTATTCTTGAGTTCTCTTTCTTTTAGTTTTTTATTAGAGTGTAGAAATGCAACTGATTTTTGTAAGTTGATTCTGTACCCTGTAACTTTGTTGTAGTTGTTGATTATTTCTAGTAGTTTTCTGATGGATCGTTAAGGTTTTCTATATGTAGAATCATGTCATCTGCAAACAGTGAGAGTTTCACTTATTCCTTACCAATTTGGATACCTTTTGTTTCTTTTTCTTGCCTAATTGCTCTGGCCCAAACCTCGTAGTATGTTGAATAAGAGTGGCGAGAGTGGGCACCCTTGTCTTGTTCCTGTTCTTAGAGGGATGGCTTTCAGTTTTTCACCATTGAGTATGATGTTGGCTGTGGGTTTGTCAATATATGGCTTTTATTATGCTGAGGTACTTTCCTTCTGTACACATTTTATTGAGAGTTTTTATCATAAACGGATGTTGGATCCTGTCAAATGCTTTCTCTGCATCTATTGAGATGATCATGTGATTTTGGTTCCTCATTTTGTTAATGTGGTGTATCACATTGATAGATTTGCAGATGTGGAACCATCCCTGCATCCCTGGTATAAATCTCACTTGATCACGGTGTATGATCCTTTTAATGTATTGCTGTATTTGGTTTGCCAACATTTTGTTGAGGATTTTTGCAGCTGTGTCCATCAGCAATATTGGTCTGTAATTTTCCTTCTTTGTGTTGTCCTTGTCTGGCTTTGGGATCAGGGTGATGTTGGCCTCATAGAATGAGTTAGGAAGTAGTCTCTCTTCTTCAATTTTTTGGAATAGTTTGAGACGGATAGGTATTAAATATTCTTTGAATGTTTGGTAGAATTCTCCAGAGAAGCCATCTGGTCCTGGACTTTTATCTTTTGGGAGGTTTTTTTTCTTACTGTTTCAATCTCTTTACTTGTGATTGGTCTATTTAGATTCTCTATTTCTTCTTGATTCAGTTTTGGGAGGTTGTACGAGTCTAAGAATTTATCTATTTCTTATAGATCGTCCAATTTGTTGGCATATAGTTTTTCCTAGTATTCTCTTATAATCCTTTGTGTTTCTGTGGTATCCACTGTAATTTCTCCTCTTTCATTTCTTTTCTTTTTTTTTAATTTTTATTTTTTTCAGATGTACATCATATTTTGAATTCTGTATACATTACATCATGTTCACCACCCGAACACTAATTATAGTCCATCCCCTCACATGTGACCCTAATCACCCCTTTTGCCCCCCTCCCCCTTCCCCAAAGGTAACCACCAGTCCAATCTCCAATGCTATGTGTTTTTTTTTTTTTTTTGTCGTTTTTATCTTCTACTTATGAGTGAGATCATATGGTATTTGACTTTCCCCCTCTGACTTGTTTCACTCAGCATAATACCCTCAAGGTCCATCCATGTTGTCACAAATGGCCGGATTTCGTCATTTCTTATGGCTGAGTAGTAGTCCATCATGTATAAATACCACATCTTCTTTATCCATTCATCCCTTGATGGGCATCTAGGGTGCTTCCATGTCTTGGCTATTGTGTATAATGCCACAATGAACATAGGGGTGCAAGTATCTTTATGCCTTTGTGTTTTCAAGTTCTTTGGATAAATACCCAGCAGTGGAATAGCTGGATCATATGGTAGATCTAACCTTAATTTTCTGAGGATACTCCATACTGCTTTCCATAGTGGCTGCACCAGCTTGCACTGCCACCAGCAGTGAACAAGGGTTTCCTTCTCTCCACACCCTCTCCAACATTTGTCATTTCCTGTCTTGTTAATTATAACCATTCTGACCGGAGTGAGGTGATACCTCATTGTAGTTTTGATTTGCATTTCCCTGATAGCTCATGATGTTGAGCATCTTTTCATATGCCTGTTGGCCATCTGTGTTCAACGCAATCCCTATCAAAGTTCCAACAACATTTTTCACAGAAGTAGAACAAAGAATCCTAAAATTTATATGGAACAATAAAAGACCCCGAATAGCCAAAGGATTCCTGAGAAAAAAGAACAAAGCTGGAGGTATCACACTCCCTGATTTCAAATTATACTACAAAACCACAGTAACCAAAACAGCATGGTACTGGCACAAAAACAGACACACAGATCAATGGAACAAAATTGAGAGCCCAGAAGTAAACCCACACATTTAGGGACAGCTAATATTCTACAAGGGAGCCAAGAGCATAAGACGGAGAAAGGAGAGTCTCTTCAATAAATGGTGTTGGGAAAACTGGACAGCCACATGCAAAAGAATGAAAGTAGACCATTCCCTTACACCACGCACAAAATTCAACTCAAAATGGATTAAAGACTTGAATGTAAGACCCCAAACCATGAGACTTCTAGAAGAAAACATAGGCAGTACGCTCTATGACATGGTCTGAGCAGCATATTTTCAAGTCCCATGTCTGACCGGGCAAGGGAAACAAAAGAAAAAATGAACAAATGGGACTACATCAAACTAAAAAGCTTCTGCACCACAAAGGAAACATCAACAAAACGAAAAGACAACCTAACAATTGGGAGAAGATATTTGCAAACCATATATCAGATAAGGGGTTAATATCCAAAATATACAAAGAACTAATACAACTCAACAACAAAAAAACCAACAATCCAATTAGAAAATGGGCAAACGATCTGAACAGAGATTTCTCCAAAGAAGATATACAGGTGTCCTCTTTCATTTCTAATTTTATTTATTTGAGTCTCCTCTCTCTTTTTTAGTGAGTCTGGCTAAGGGTTTTTCAATTTTCTTCATCTTCTCAAAGAGCCAGCTCTTAGTTTCATTGATACTTTCTACTGTTTTTTTTGGTTTCTATTTCATTTATTTCTGCTCTAGTTTTATTATTTCCCTCCTTCTGCTGACTTTGGGCTTTGTTTGTTCTTCTTTTTCT